GCTGGGGCCTTGGATTTATTGCCTTAATGGCTAAGTTGACAGGCTAAGTCGGTCTCCAGATTCTGCTACTGAATGCAGACACCGCCGCCCCTCCTGCCCACCCCCTCCACAAGCACAGAGAGTCTGTTAAGGCAGAACCGCACAAATGGGAAACACCCATCAAATGCAGCAGGATATTAACTTCTCTGGGAAGCCTTTATATGCCATTACTTCAGAAAGGATTCCTTGTTAGTCCTACCATTAAACAATTAAATTGTCAGAGATGAATCTGTGCATATGTGTGCAGAGCGCCTGTGTGTGTGCGGGATGTGTGATTTCCCACTCAGGTGATGTCTGCGCCAGGTTCTCTCTCCCCACCCCCGCCTTCCTCCCTCTCCATCTTTCTACCCTGATTTTATGCTTTTTTCCTTTTACATGGTGGAAATAAATATATCTTCCCAGTGGCATAAGCAGGTTTTGTTTTGAACTTTGCCTGCACATTTTCTGCTACTCATAAGCTAGGAGTACAAAGAAACTCCGAGATGAAGCTGTCTCAAGGTACACTCTCACCACCACCCCACTTTCTCTCCAGTGCTAGTTGTTGGCACAGTTCAGCACATGTGTGTTATACACACACACACACACACACACACACACACACACACACACACACACACACACATTGTATCAAGAGCTCCAAGTCCAGGCTAATATCTGCATTGAAGAGGAAGGAGCATGAATTCGCAAATTCCCATATGTTTTTATTAAAATAATTTCCTTGTACATGCTTGTGAAAAGTTAGATGTATTTCAATAAACCTGGTAGTAATTATTTTAGTAAATAAAGAACACACTACTTAAATTCAATAACTTAATATTTAATAAATATAATTAGGCCCACACTTGTTTTCTAAACATTTTCACATAGCTGAAATTATTATTTCATTCGAACATATATTTTTTAAACTACCAAAACTCTTTTCTGGGATTTTATCTCAAAAAATAAAAAAAGAAAGAAACAAATATAAAGACTTCAACAATCACCTATGTTTAAGGTTACGAGTTCAAGAAAATAGTGTTGGCATGTACAGATCCTCTAGCTCCTGAAAGGATTGTTGGTGCAATGTCATATAAACATACAAACAATGGACACTGGAGCACACAGGTGCACACATATATAGAAGAACACACAGTGCACACACACACACAAGCTCATGTACACACAATCTTTATCCCTGCCATTTGGGACAAGATTAAGGATTGAACCCAGGGCCTCACCCACTCTACACTGTTGCATTCCTAGCCCTCCACTGAGCTAATCTTGTTTGTTCTAAAACTAAAGTCTCATTGTGTAGCCCTGGCTGGCTAGGAACTTCTTTTGCAGACCAGACTGGTTTCTGTCTCATACATAGGTGCTGAGGTTAAAGGGGAGCAAGGTTCCTTCCCATCTCCTTGGCCATCCAGCTCCCACCTAAATGACTGCCATGGCTGATGACTCACCGTTCCCCTTAAGTCTTGGGGTGAACGTTGGTGTTGTGTTCCCAGTTACCACACTTTAACTAATATAGTGTTGATAGCATCAAAGAAAGAAAAAAAAAAGTGCCATAGAATATTTTTCACTAAAAAAGTTACTGAGTATGTTAGAAGAACAGCTCTCTGCAGCTAATCAGTGTATTTACTGTAAACCATTCCTGAGTAATCACTAATGTAGGTCTCCTAAAGCAACATCCTGAGCAAGGGACCATCTATGTTACAAGATTAGCATTCAGAAATAACACCTCACCAGCTTACATCTGAAATCATGCCATTAATTAATTATCAGTTGCTTTGATTAAAGTTTTTGTAATGTTATGACACTCCCATTAAAATACAAATATCCCTGAGGGAGATAACATGCAAAGCTCATTATCTGTAGTTTCCATCTTTGCGGGGATTATCTCAGGATTATCTGATGAAATGAATCACTTTCTGCTTGTGAAGATGGCTTCTGAACAAGACAGCGCAGAATGACTTCTGTATTGTGCTAACAGGACATGGAGGAGAAGCTGCCTGCTGCCAAATTCTACCACCTAGCCTAAGCCAAAGGGGTCTTTGTATACTTTGAGATACACATCCCTTAAGAGCGTTTACTCATTAAACCTCAATTGTCGCTTTCAACTCTGAATAAATACATTTGCCAGCTTCTTTAAAAAGCTGACCTAAGCCTTTCTCTAATTCTCAGAAAATACCTTTAGTTGACTCATTATGTCCAAGAGACAGAAAAGTGCTTATCATCCTTTTTGTTTGTTTGTTTTTGTTTTGTTTTTTCGAGACAGGGTTTCTCTGTGTAACAGTCCTGGTTGTCCTGGGTCTCACTCTGTAGACCAGGCTGGCTTAGAACTCACAGAGATCTGCCTGCCTCTGCCTCCTGAGTGCTGGGATTAAAGGTGTGTGCCACCACCACCCTGCCCGGCACACATCATTCTTACCTCCTTCTCTCATAGTATCTCAGTTAGATGAACACTAGCTGTCCCTGTGCACCTCCGTCTGCCTGCTCCCTGGACAGCTCATGTCACATATCCTTTCCATCCGGTCTCTTGTCCTTCCTTGTGGCTTTGCTTTTAGCCATGTGGTGACTTGACCAGTAACTTCAGCTATCCTCTGTACGTCTTGTCCTCACAATCAGTGGTGACAGCCTAGGTGTTCACACTCTGGGACGTCTCGCACCCTTCTTCTCCTTCCGGGGCCACAGCTCTAGTGCATGCCCAGTCTTCCTTGCTGTGCTGTTGAGAGCAGGTGAGTGTTCCAACATCACTGTCATAACCCTGGACATAACCCTTTAAGGCACTCCCTGCCTCTTGAACTAACACCCATTCCATCCTCCAGTGCACATGTGATCTGGTTTCATCTGCTGCCCGCTCTTACGCACCCTCTAGTAAAACCTGAGCACTTGCAAGTCCCATCACTGAACTCCCATGCATCTACTATGCCTGGAGGACTAAATAGTCCACCATTATACATTCCTCTTTACTGCTGACCATACTGGCAACTCATAAGTCTGGGATGGTGTCCTGCTCATTGCTTCCACACCTCTGGCTGCTTCGAGGGCAGCTTTGCCAAGAAATGACAGAGTTCTTCGAAGCCACTTAACACACTTCTGAGGTGGAAACTTTGGACCAGCCTCTGAGCACTGGGAATCTGTGCTGGAAAGGGGAATGTGGCCCCAGCACCAGCATCTATCTGTTGGGTGTTGTAGAAGGCAGGACACTCCCAGACTGACACCTTTTCACTGAAAAACAACTACAGCTCTCAGTGAGTGACTTTGCAGCTCAAAGTATTTTAAGTTTTATACTCAAACATTTTCCTTGCAAGTTCACAGACATATGTATGTGCACACATATCCCCAAATGATGACATCATAGTGCTCAGTTGACTGTTGTTTATATATCACATTCACTCATTCCAAACACTTCACTATTGATTTGTGGGTCTTAGGCCATAGCCACAACTTACATTTTAGAATAATGTTTCACATTCCATAGACACTTGACTGTCTTTTGCAGTGGTATGCATGTTCATGCTGACAGCAGTTGGACACTGAGAGACACTAAACTTGGCATTAAAAGTGAGTCAAGAAAGCTGGCAGTCAGACATGCTAACCCAGGCATCTGGACGGGACAGGGTCAACTTCATGTGCAGATCCACAAGGGTGCAGGGTTTAAATGCAGGAGTTTGATTTTTAGACCAGTAAAACCAAGAGTCTCTGCACCCCAGGGTGCTGTGGAGTTTCCCTGGAAGGCTTGTTTTTCAGAGCCAAAGCTCCAAAGAAGGAAGGGCAGCTCATGTTGGTTTCCAGTCTCATGTTATTTCTCAATTTTATGCTTAATTTGCTCCTTTTGGTTTTATGTATTTTGACACAGCTAAGTGTGTAAGTGGATTCCCCATAGACCTTTAAATGCTATAAAACTTTAATATGGGGAGATAAAAACAATAATAAGCCATGCCTCCAAGCCCCACATTTAGTTCTTTATTTGAGCAACAGGATAAGCAGTTTTAGGTTCGTATTTAGATTCCCAAATGTTGCTCTGCTTTAAATGCAGTTATGCCTTGCCTCCCTTCACTCAGATGGAAAGTAGGCTCTACCCTCAGCCTGGAGGTGGGACTCTCACTGATTGAAGAAAAAAAGTCGTCTTTAAAATTCTGAAATCATCTAACTGTCTGTATTGGCATGAGCCAGGGCAATTTAACATGGTTTGGAATGAAGCCAAGACGGATGCTCAATGCCCAGTTTCAGGTGTGCAACCCTGGACTGTTTCAGAAAAACTGGAATAAGCTGGCCGTGGCTTCCCGCTTTCAGAACTGTCCTTGGAGTCTCAATACCCTAAGAATCTTTGTGTCTTTGATGCACAAAGTTCAAGAGAAACACCTTCTAAATAGATCAGTCCTAATGATGGTTAATATTTGCTGCTTTATTAAATAAAGCACATTTGCTTTAAAAAAAAAAAAGAAAATTTACTTAGCTGCATGTCAGTCAACCAAATTTTGAGTGTACAAATGAAATGGAAAACATTTATTACACAAATTTAATTACAATTCTAGGAAATAAACATGCAAATCAGACGGAGTGCAATCTGCAGGCGCTGATCCTCATCCCGGTTCCTGCCTTTCTTCCCCAGGCCTGCAGTGGGTGCACCTCCTGGATTGCAGGGACCAGGCAGTCAGAGGCCTGGCTCTTGCAGGGGGGAGGATCACGGTTTTAAAGAGGGGCATCTGTCCCTAGCAACAGTCTCCAGTCTTCCTAACACTTCCGCAGGTGCCCTTCCCGGCTTTGTTAAGCCTACCTCCTGTAAGCCTCTACATTCCTAGCACCTCAAGTGACCTCTCCATCACAGAGGGTCCCCAGACAGGATTTATGAATTAAATTTGTTTTGTATTGTTGTTTTGTTTTGAAGAAAAAAGGGAGCCACGCATGGTCGCGCATGTCTTTCATCTTAGCACTTGGGAGGCAGAGGCAAGCAGATCTCTGTAAGTTCAAGGCCAGCCTGGTTTACACAGTGAGACCCTGTTTCAAAAACAAAACAACAACAAAACCCCACACAAAAGCCAGCTCTAATTGAATCCACCACAAGAAGGGGGTGGGGGAATCACTATTTGCAAAATAAAGTGACTCCGGCTTCTGCCCTAGCCTCTCCACCAAGGGCAAGCTTCTTTACTAGTTCTGTTTTTGTTTTTCTTGGAGGTTTTCCCCGCGGGGATCCTCACCCGGGAGCTGCCAGTTCACGTGGAGGCAGGACGAGTGCTGCCTTGTTACACCCGAGATGCAGGGGAAAGGACCGGGAGGGCGGGGGAGCGCAAAGGCTCAGTCCAGCTCCGACATCTGTTTCTCATCTCCAAGTGCTGTACAGAGGGGAAGAAAGTCTTTAGCAAAGGGTGGGAAAGGCACAGATTTTTTTTTTTTT